TCCTAGGATTCTCTGTTCCTGGACTGTAAGATTAACTACTCTTCTCTTTTTGTTACAAAACTTCTACCTTTACAGTTGTGACAGTCACAGTTAGTCATGATAACAATTACTTCAGTATTGAATCATAAGAATCTTATCCCCATCTCCTTTTATCAGACCCATCTAGACAAGATGAAAACTATTTAGTGATGATTCTACCTTCCCCCACACACTCTGAAACTAAACTCCCTCTTGAAACCTTGTAAACCAGTCAACTTCATGTCTTTATAGCCCCTTCCATTTTAGGTAGCCAATATCTAAGTTTCCCCATCTATCAACCCTGTATACAGAGTGGATAGGATTGATCTTGGATGTGAAGACTCCTTCCCTCTCAGTTGGTATTTTGAGCTACTACATCCATAAATGTAAGTCAAGTTCATCATACTATAGCAATTTACACTTGTTTCCTTTTTTGGGCATTCTTGTGCGTCTCCCCTTACTTCACATCAGGTAGGCGCTTCGCTCTCAGCTCCATCCCTCCGTGGCTATATCCTTGTCCATTGGCTCAGGTGTCCTCAGGTCTCACTACATTTCAGACCAACCAACCCCTCCTCTTCGCTATCTCATCTCCAGGTCGACGGGAGTCTGTGGAACATGGACGAATTTGGCTCTTATTTTCATTGCTGCCTTTCCCCCTCTTCCACTCACCAGGAGACCAACGTGATGTGGCTGCCAGACTGGACTCTATAACTTTTAACAACAACTTTAATATTAAAGTTGTACTAATACTACATTAGACAGTATTTCTACTTTTAACCTTAGGTTAGCTTGCCTTTACTAGGTAATAAGACTTCCTGGTGGGGTTAATTCAACATGAAATGTACACTAGGAGAATAAAGTAATTTAACAAGTTAACCAGTAAAAAATACAAGATTCTCTGAGCCATACAGTATTCCATGACAATCAATTGTAGCTAAACAGTGTTTATGGTGGGTAATCTCTCTGAATCTGTCTGCCCGTCTCTCTGCCTTCTCTCTTACATATGTTCATGTGTGTACACACACACACACACACACAGGCATACATAAACACAGGTGAAAAAGGGAAGATATCAGCCTGTTTTAAAGACTACTCACTCCTTAAGAGAAATTTAATGATGTATACTGTAGCTAAGTGGGTTATGATTAGGCAGCTAACTGCAATTTTAGCAGTTTGAATCTACAAGCTATTCTGCAGGAGACAGATGAGGCTTCCTGATCCTGTGAAGATGTATAGCCTTAGAAATGCTATACAGGGTTAATCTGAGTTGGTAGCTATAAATAAGGCTTCAATCTGAGCACTGTCATTTAAAATTTGCTGGGTTATTTCGGTAGGACTAAATACATGTGAATTTATTTATGGTATTTTAATAATTAATGATAATACATACCTCAATTTTTTAATGCCGGAGAAGAAAATGATGTTAGGTTTTGATTCATAGTGACCCTATGCACAACAGAATAAACACTGCCTGGTCCTGTGTCATTCTCACAATTGTTATGTTTGAGTCCATTTTGCTGCCACTGACTGTGTCAAACCACCTCTTTTGGCGTGGGGGTGGGAGGCTTCCTTTTTTTCACTGACTCTGCACTTTACCAAACATGATGTTCTTCTCCAGGGACTGATCCCTCATGACACCATGTCTAAAGACAAGAGAAAAAGTCTTGCCATCCTCACTTCTAAGGAATATTCTGGCTGTAATTCTTTTAAGACCCATTTGTTTATCCTTCTGGCAGTCCATGGTATGTTCAATATTCTGTAACACCATAATTCATATGCATCAATTCTTCTCCAGTCTTCCTTATTCATATTCATTAAGTTTCACATGCATATGAAGTGTTTGAAAATACCATGGTATGGGTCAGGTGCACTTTAGTCCTTAAACTGACATCTTTGCTCTTGAACACTTTAAAGAGCTCTTGTGCAGCAGATTTGTGTACTGCAATATAGCCTTTGATTTCTTGACTGCTGTTTCCATGAGCATTGATTATGGATGCAAGCAAAATGAAATATTTGACAACTTTCATCTTTTCTCTGTTTATCATATTATTTATTGGTCCAGTACCAATGAGTTTTGTTTTCTTTACATTGAGGTACAATCTATACTGAAAGCTACTGCAGTCTGTGATCTTTATCAGTAAATATTTTAAGTCCTCTTTACTCCTAGCAAGTAATGTTGCTTCAGCTATGTTAGTGAGTCTTCTTCCAATTCTGATGCCACATTCTTCTTCATATAATCCAGCTTCTCATATTGTTTGTTCAGCATACAGACTGAATAAATATTATAAAAGGATTACATCCCTGGTATACACCTTTCCTGATTTTAAACCCTTCAGTATCCCCTTATTCTGTTCTAACTGCCTCTTGGTCTATATACAAGTTTCTCATGAGCAAAATTAAATGTTCTGGAATGCCATTCCTCGCAATATTATCATAGTTTATTATGATCCATGTAGTCAAATACCTCTGCATACTTAATGAAGAACAAGTAAACATTTTTCTGGTATTCTCTGCTTTTAGCTAAGATCCATTTGATATCAGCAATGATATCCTTCAATCCACATTCTTTTCTGAATCTGACTTGAATTTCTGACAGCTCCTAGTCAATGTAATGCAGCAACCATTTTGAATGATCTTCAGGAAAATTTTACTTACATATGTTACCTTTTCAAATGGCTAAGCAATGACCAATTCTTTTTATTGTAGCGACTCTTGTATATTCCTTCCATCTTCTTTTGTTGTTTCCTGCATCATCCAATATTTAGTCTATCATATCTTCCAGTATTAAAATATGGATGTTTGAATTTTTTTCTGCAGTTCTTTCAGTATGAGGATTGCTGAATATGTTCTTCCTTTTTGGTTTTCCAACTCTAGGTCTTTGCACAGTTCATTATAATACTACTTTGTCTTCTTGAACTGCCTTTGAAATTTTTTGTTCAGTTCTTTTATGTCTTCATTTCTTCCAATTGCTTTAGCTTCTCTATACTTAAGAGCAAGTTTCAGAAAATAGATAGATGGAATAAATATTTTATAAAAAAAAGCTACAGCTGGAATATAAAGCCAAGCCTACCAGTTGCTCTGTGGGAGAAAGATGAGGCTCTCTGCTCCTGCAAAGATTTACAGTCTTGAAAACCCTATACAACAGGGTTGCTATGAGTTATAACTAACTCAGCAGCATTTAATATCAACAACAATGGTATTACCTCTTGATTTCTCCATACTGTAAAGTATCAGAAATAAAATTATTTTAATGAGATATAATGACTAAGAATTAGTATGTTTAGAATTATAACAGAAGAAAATACATACCAATGTAGACTCAAAATAGTGAGTAAACATTTTTAGTTGGTGTTATAGTAGACTGTATGAATAATGGCTGTAATAACACAATATTCATGTTCCATTACAATGATGTTGTGTTTCCTCCCATTAAGAGATGGAATCTATTTTCCACAAATCCTTAAGTCTGAATTCTGTCATGTGACTTTGTGTTGGTAATGGGCTATTTAGCCAACATGGCACAAGTAGCAGCTTGAAAAGCACTTGCACACTAGGGCTTTCCTGTCTTGTTGCTGGGAACCCTAATGGAACCATATGAACAAGCCTGAGCTGCTGGCCGGCAGGATGAGTGACCACATGGAAATATGTTCCATGGACGTCAGCGAGCCCATCCCATGTCACATGCAGCAGAGATGATGCATTCAAGATGGGCCCTAATTCAAAATCACGAACAAATAAATATTTGTTATTTTAAGCTATATGTATTAGGATAGTCCATTATAAAAAGAACTAATTAATTCCATAATCAACTTATAAATATGTTTGGAAAAAAGTTACCTTTTGAACATGTAATTCAACATCTTGCTGTGTACAGCTTCCAATTTTCTGATTCACTTTTCTCACAACACCTTCTACATCCACGATGCTCTCTTTGTTGATGCTGTCAAAAAAAAGAAGAAAAAAAAAAATCCCAATTTTAATCATCTCATCATAGGTGTCAGAATTCATTTGGTGTTTCTGCAGCAGAGCTGAACATATTAAACTCTTCTTTAATACAGTAAGCCACTTGAGAGAAAGCCAGTCTATTTAACCTACTTACAATAAGCTATTATGTTGCATACTCTGTGAAATTCCTTGAAGAGATGATTTTTTTAGATGCTATAATTTAGTTATCACTTCTAAAATACTCTAGACATAAAAGGCAATAGTGCTATCAGTGAATTTTGAAAACTGGGAGTCTTTCAATTATTTATTAAAGAACATTTATTTCCCTCTTTATATTTCAGATTTACTAAGATCAGCATTTCCTGTAACTAGAAACACTGACCTCGATAAAGCAATTACTGATATGGAATGAAACTAAACAACAGAAGGTCAACTGAAAAGATTTCAAGGTATTAAGTGGACATTAGGATGATATTTGGTAATTAACTTCTCATTGCCTGGTATGGTGTTATAGGATAAGCACTAGACTGCTAACCACAAAGTTGGTGAGCTGCTCCTTGGGACTATGAATTGCTACGAGTTGGGACCGACTCTAAGGCACTTAACAACAATAATTTCTGGGTGCACTTTGCACTGGAATTCATGGTAGACAGCCTACTGGATTGTAAACCCCTACTCCAAAGAATGCCTATATTAAACTTATATACAATGAGTGTAACATAAATTCATCTTGTGGGTAATTTAATGGGATAACAAATGTAAATTTGAGTCTTGAATAAGTTTTTCTGACCTTTAAATCAACAATGTGGCTAACAGGTAAGTCCTGGATAACCTAGGGAAGGGCAGCTTTGTTCTCAGAGTGTGTTTGAAAGTAGATTTTAAATATCCAGATGAGCTCAAGGAAGGGGTGTTTACCATCAGACTCGCACAGAGAGTTAGGGTCCTGATGGCTCTGACTCAGGGCTGCACAGTCGTAAGTCATACCATGAACACCACGGAGCCAGATGGCAGAAGCCCCAGAACCAATCCTGCAAGCTTTTAAAATCTTAAGTGTGTACATGTTCCTTTCATTGCCTCTGAGTGTGATGAATTGACCTGTCACAAATCATGATTTTGTGAAGCTTTCTTTTGTCTTCAATCACATTAGTCCTGTGACCATGAATCATTGGACTCCATTCTGGCCTCTGGACTGTCTTCCTTCATCCTGGGACGTCTACAGAATATGGATGTCTTCCTTCATCCTGGGAAGTCTACAGAATATGGATGAATCTGTAATCTTTTTTCCCCTGGCACAATACTCAAATTCTGAAACATATCAACTGATTATTTTTATACTGCTAGTAAATAACCAAGAGGGAAATGTGTAATCCAAAGTAGTGAGTCCCATACGAAATGTACTTTTACTTTTGTATATCCTTGTATTGACAGAACGTGTCACAATATATTTGGGAAAAACAGTTAAGATTTAACTTTCATAGGGTAATTCTGTTTACTGTAATAAAAACTGGGTCATCAGGAGCCATTGTGCTATTAGACAACATTGCAGAAATTTAACAAATGATTATTTGCACAATTGATCTCAATTCCCACTCACTCAGGTTTGATAAAGGGTCATAATGAGAACAGGTGAAGAGGGTAAAGTAAGAAACAAAAAGGTTCACACTTCACTGTGCTCTACCGACTGTTGTTAAGTGCCATCGAGTCAGTTCCGATCCATAGTGACCCTATATAGGGTTTCTGAGTAGCTTATGGTGAGCTTGAACCGCCGACCTTAGAGTTCAAAGGGCTTTGCAGTCTGGCTCATTAACTCACAGCGCCACACCAGGACTCCACTCTACTGCCTAGCATTCTGTAATTCTATAACATCGATTACTACCTTTATTTCTAAAAGTTGGACAGTATTCACATCTCTTGGCACTCTCCTAGAGTTGCAAAAGAGCTACTGCCTAAAAAAAACCCTCACTGCCACTGAGTGGATTCCAACTTACAGTGACCCTATAACAGGACAGAGCAGAACTGTTCCTTAGGGTTTCCAAGACTGTCTTTACAAGAGCAAACAGCCTTATTTTTCTACTGTAGAAGGGCTGGTGGATTTGAACCACTGACCTTACAGTTAGCAGCTAGGTGCTTAACCCACTCTACCACCAGGGCTCATTAGAGCTTATGTCTGTTGTTAAGTGCCATCGAGTCCTTTGAGACTCACAGCAACCTTATACAGGGTTTCCAAAGAGTGACTGGTTAAGTTTGAACAGCCAACCTTGCAATTCAAACAAACCTTTCTGTTCAGTACTTATCCTATAGCGCCACACCAGGATTTACCTAGCTAAAATCTTGTATACTAAGGAAACTGGGCTCATTATGGGAAAAAGGTAGCTGGTGAGCTAAGATAAGGCTACTCTAAAGGGTTTAGAGTCTTCAGTTTACTGTTATACTCAAAGGGCTTTCTAGTCTTGGCAATCCAGTTTCATTCAAACCCTACACTCCCCAGCTGCCTCACCAATTTGCATGCAAAAAAAAAAAAAACTCCTTAACATTTGAGTATATGGTTCTGGCTTTGGGAGAATTCTTTACTTACTTCACATGTATTTAATGAAAGTATGGCTTCATCAAGTAACCTGCCCTAACTTCCTAACTTACCCCACCCAGAACTCCATCCAACTATGGTGGTGGTGGTGGTTAAGTGCCGTGGAGTTGGTTCCGACTCACAGTGACCCTGGTACAGGGTTTCTGAGGCTGTAAATCTTTACAGGAGCAGAAAGTCTCATCTTTCTCCTACAGAACCACTGGTAATTTCAAACTGCTGACCTTGAGAGCAGCAACCCAACTTGTAACCACTACGCTATCAGAGTTCCTTACATCCAACTATTGTCTAGCTATAACTGTAGCCCTCTTGACTTTTTTTTTTTTTTTT